TATATACATATTAAGTTTTTGATGCTTAATACAAAACTTTTGGTGAGGTAATAATGAATACTGTAATAATATGTTATGTTATAAATAAATTGTGTGAAAGTTAGGATTTTTGCGTTATTTACCATAGCATCCACTCCCTACATTTGTTTAAGTTTATAACGGTGACAAAGGATGGGTACCTCAGCTTGTAGATGTATGAATCAGGGTTCTTGTGAATAGTAATTGATTGTCACTTGAAAATAACATTATTTTGTGCTTCACAAATGGAACAGCTGTATACATCCATCCCTTTAACAGTTAGCTTCATTAATTGTTTTAATATAAAACATATAGTATAAAATTGTGATAGAAAAGGGGAATCATGATTAGTAATGATGTAGTAATCTGTGGACTCAAGTACAAATGTTCTACTGTTAATGTGTGTATTAAAATGGTATAATCTAATCTCAATAGTCTTCATTTTTACTACTATTTAAAGAAAACAGCTATAGTATACTTGTGCTTTGATATTTTCAGTAAATGATTTGATCATATCACATATAAAAAGTACAGTTACAGAAAAATTAAAGTAACATTTTAAATATCACATACAATACTATAAACTGGTAGATCAGCATGAATTTTGAATGATGAGAAGAAACATAAAGGAACACGTGTATTCGGATGTAGATTAAAATGCAATAGCAACAGATAACTTTTTTTGAAACCGAGTCTTGAAAAAGCTCAGTTGTTTAACTTGTTGGTCTTTCAGAAAATGTTTATAATAACATACAGAACAATATCATTTCAGTAACTGAAAGCATTTACTGTTTGTTATAAAATTACTGATCACTGAAATAACTTGTATTTATAAAAAATTAACTATTATATAACTATGTTCCTATCTAGTTTTTACTTAGCCAGCCTGTATGTATGTCTGTCTATCACTTGTTTCATACAGCTTATATGACAGCTGTTGTTGTAGTTCTGTTATCTAAAATTTCTCAGTAAAAATTTCTTTCATTATACAAACCTCTTTGGATTTTTCTTTCCTTTGAACATAAATTTCTTTGTCATTCAACATCTTAAGCAAATCTTGCTTTAGTACATGCTTGGCTTCTTTTTCTTGCTCTTTCTTTTTTTCTGCTCTTGTTTAAACTGTTCATCTTGTTGTTGGACTTGTTTTCTTTCTTTTTGTAAAGCTTCTATATACTGCTGTTCATTTTCTTTGAGTTCCTGTATCCTGAAAAACAATATTAAATATATAG